GTAAATTGTTAACTATTAAACTTGTACCCCCCAACACATTGTTACTTCTTGGTAAATATCACTGGTGTGCCTCAAAAATTTTGTGCTGGACACTATGGTGGTAAAATATGGCAGAGGAATTAGTGGAGAAAAGCTATGTCTCTGGGGCATGATCTTAGGGGGACAAAAATCCTCATTTTTTTAGATCTCTCATGAGATAGAAGGAGAAAGTTACCCAAGGTGAGCCTTGGCAAAACCCTCAATTTCTTATATAATAAACTGATGTACTTTATAGCCAATCTCAATACATATACATATTTTCAGTCTCTCTTTTTTCCTTCTCGGCAATAACTGACTTGATTGCTCATTTGGTTCAGCATTGTGCTAGTAAGGTAAAATCAATGAGTTTAATTCCTGTTTAGCTCTGGTGGCCATGAACTAAACCCCTAAACTTAACAAACATGAGCTGTTGAGTGACCCCAAAGGAATTGTGTTTGGCTCTGAACAAGTCTATCAATATTACACAAAAGACAATGCTTTACAGACAGTGTGTCAGAACCTTCATCTTTGTATTCAAGGACAACAAAGTAATTTTCACAGAGAACAACTAATGTGATTTGTTTAATGCCTACAATAGATCTCTGGGACAATCAAAAACAGGTACTTGGAAAGTTCAATATACTATACATATTCAAATGGACCCTATCCATGTCACACAGTCATAATAGAGTCTTTGACAAATCTCATGATACAATACATGCTCAATCCATCCTGCTTTTATAGGATCAAAAATAAATAAAAATAACAGAAACTATCTCGGTTTCTGATTGTTTATGGGAAAACTCTTACCTGAGAACAAACTAATGAAAACAAAATCAATTCCAACTCAAAAATACAAATTTAATATGCCTAGAGTAAAAGCAAATCTAAAGCAAATTATGCAATTCATTGAGTGAGAGAACCCTACAAAGCAGTGACAGAGCTTTATTTAATGAGTGCCACTGCTAAGCAAACTAGATCCAAATTTTTTAAATTTAATTTTTAAATTGACATAATTGGACATATTTAAAGGGTACATAGTGATGTTTTGATACAGACAATGTATAATGATCAGAGTAAGGTAATTAGCATATCCATCATCTCAAATATTTATCATTTTTTTGCGTTGGGAACATTCAATATACTCCTCCTAGCTATTTGAAACTACATGATATATTATTGTTAACTATAGTTATCATATAGTGCAATAATATAACAATATATTATTGTTAACTATAGTCATCATATGTAGTGCTGTAAATAACTAGAATTTATTCCAAATGTAATTTTCTATCCTTTAGCAAATCTCTCCCTATATTCCCTTTCCTCCCATCCTTCCCAGACTCTAGTATCCTCTGCTCTACTTTTAAACTGTATGAAATCAACTTTTTTTAGCTTTTGCATGAGTGAGAACATGCGGTGTTTAACTTTCTGTTCCTGGTTTATTTCACTTAACATGATGTTCTCTAGTTCCGTGTTGCCACAAATGACAGGATTTCATTCCTATCATTTTTTATGACCATATAGTATTTTGTTGTGTATATATACCACATTTTCTTTATCCATTCATCTGTTGTTGGATTTTTTTGGTTGATTCCATATCTTGGCTATTGTGAATAGTGCTACAATAAACACAGGGGTGTAGATGTCTCTTTGACATACATATTTCCTTTCCTTTGGATAAATGCCAATAGTGGGATTGCTAGATCATATGGTAGTTCTATTTGTAGTTTTCTGAGGACCCTCCATACGGTTCTCCACAATGGCTGTACTAGTTTACATTCCCACCAGCAGCGTATGAGAGTTCCCTTTTCTCTGCATCCTTGCCAGCATTTGTTATTTTTTTGTCTTTCTGATAATAGCCATCCTAACTGGGGCAAGATGATATCTCATTGTGGTTTTGATTTGGCATTTTCCTGATGATTAGTGACATTGAGCATTTTTTCATATATTTCTTGGTCATTTTTATGCCTTCTCTTGAGAAATGTCTATTCAGATCATTTGCCCATTTTTCAGTAGGATTGTTTGGAGTTTTTTGCTATTGAAATGTTTGACTTCCTTGTATATCCTTGTATTTTTAATGTGATCTTACATCTGACAAGACCACAACAATAAAGAAGGTGCCTCATAATTATCCAAAGGCATTCAGAGGAAAGGAAAAGGATAGTGAAAGACCACATTAACAGGAAAACTGGACACGTGCAACATATCTACAAAAAATTTAAAAAATTACCTGAGTGTGGTGGTACACACCTGTAGTCCTAGCTACAGGGGAGGCTGAGGTGGGAGGATCTCTTGAGCCCAGGAGTTCAAAGTTACAGTGAGCTATGATTGCACTACTGCACTCTAGCCTAGGCAACAGAGGGAAATCCTGTCAAGAAAGAAAAGAAAGGAAAGGGAAGGGAGGAGAAGGGGAGGAAAGGGAAGGGAAAGAAAAGGAGAGGAAAGGAAAAAGGAAGGAAAAGGAAAGGAAGGGAAGAAACAAAGAGAAAAGGAAGAAAAAAAAGAAAGAAAGGAAGAGAGAGATAGAGAGAAGGAAGGAAGGAAGGAGAAAAGAAAGAAAAAGAAGAAAAGAAAGAAAGAAAAGATATCTGTTCAAATGTTACTTCTTCAGAGAGGATTCCTTGATCACTCTATTTAAAATATAAGGTGGGAGGTATGCACATATACATTCACACATAATCACACAGAAACTTTCCTATTTTTTTATTTTTAGCTCTTATCACTATCTAGCATTATGTATTTGTTTACTATCTGTCTTACTATCTTACATAGACTAGAAACTCTATGAGAGCAGAAACTTCTTACTGTTCAAGAATCTAGAACAATGTCTGTCAAATAGGTACTCGAAAAATATTGTTCAACAAATGACCCAAGAAAATAAGGTTGACTGATAAACAGCAAAGGATTCCAAGAACTAGTCCTGATATAATAGGTCATTAGGTCATACCTACTTTCCACATAGAAGCTCAAATTGGGGGGGGGGGAAGCCATCTAAACATAAATTGTATTGTTTATGTACTTTATCTATTAATGAGATTCCAAAATAGTAATACAAAAAACATTTCTTTATCATACACATACTTATCAAGTAAATACTGATTTACTAAGAAGTAAAACTAATCATTACATTTACTTTTTGGTACCTTAAATTTTTTATTTTTTATTGGTACATAATAAATGTGTATACTTTGGGGATACATTGTTAATACATTCATATAATTTGTAAAGATCAAATTGATGTAATTGAGACATCTATCACCTTAAAGTTTTCTTTATGCTACAAACATTCAAATTATTCACCTCTAGCTAATGTGAAATATACAATAGATTGTTGTAAACTAAAGTCACCCTACTGCTCCATCAAACACTAGGTCTTATTTCTTCTTCTAAGTGTATATTTGTACCCACTAATCAACTTCTCTTCATCATCCCTTCGCCCCTACCCTTCCCAGCGGCTGGTAACTGCTAATCTACTTTCTTTTTTTTTTTTTAATAGGGCCTTCCAGTAAGGGCTGGAAGACCTGCTAGACAAATTCTAATAGAGCTGTTACACTGCTAATCTACTTTCTATCTTTATGAGATACACTCTTTTTAGCTCCCACATGAGTGAGAACATGTGATATTTGTCTTTCTGTGCTTGGGTTATATCACTTAACATAATGGCCTCCGGTTCTGCCCATGTTGCTGCAAATGACAGGATTTCATTCTTTTTTTGGCTGAATAATATTCCATTTTCTTTATCCATTCATCATCCATTGATGGGCACTTAGGTTGATTCCCTATTTTGGCTATTGTGAGTAGTGCTGCAATAAACATCAGAGTGCGGTTATCTCTTCAATATACTGATTTCCTTTCTTCTGGATATATACTCAGTAGTGGAATTGCTGTATCACATGGTAATTTTATTTTTACTTTTTTGAGAATCCTCCATATAATTTTCCATAGTGGTTATACTAATTTACATTTCCATGAACAATATATGAGGGTCCCCCCTTCTCCACATCCTTACCAGCATCTGTTATTCTTCGTCTTTTTGATAAAAGCCATTTTAACTGGGGTGAGATGATATCTCATTGTCGTTGCATTTACATTTAATAAATAATTTTATTTGAGTATTTTGTTTATTTAAGTAGACAAGAAGAAAAAAGCATATTCATTCCATCAGAAGTAACAGCTTAAAAAAAAAATAAAAAAAATAAAAAAAAAAGAAAAAAGCATATTCAAAAGTTAAAAAAATTACTGTAACACAAAATAAAGAAATAAATTTCTTTGTATTTTTCACTTGGAGTATTGTCTTTATTTCCCTCCCCCTACCAACACATTTTACTCACCATATAAAGAATTCCCACTGATTTTCTTCATCTAATTGCCAAGTGCTACTGCATTAGGTTGTAAAAATGACCTGGAATAGCCTCAGAAGGCAGTGGTATCCAGTTGTATGTATGCATGTTATATATTTACTGTATTTAGTCTTATTCCAGGTAGTAAAATGGCAACATCTTGATATTTACAGTAAGCAAGCAAAGGAATTTTAGGGTTACCACAAAATATGCAACAAAGTTCAACAGTGCTTTCTAGTTCAGATAGATTCATTCTTTGGAAAGGCCCGGCTTTCTTCTCCATCTCTAACCTCTTCCCCGTGTTAATTCTGACATCTGAATTACTTTTAAAGATGGCCAGGCATGGTAGCCCATGCCTGTAATCCTAGCACTCTGGGAGGCTGAGGCGGGAGGATTGCTTGAGCTCAGGAGTTCGAGACCAGCCCAGCAAGAGCAACACTCCATCTCTACTATAAATAGAAAGAAATTAGCCAAACAACTAAAAATAGAAAAAAAATTATCCAGGCATGGTGGCATGTGCCTGTAGTCCCAGCTGCCTGGGAGGCTGAGGCAGGAGGATCGCTTGAGCCCAGGAGTTTGAGGTTGCTGTGAGCTAGGCTGACTCCACAGTGCTCTAGCCCAGGCAACAGAGTGAGAATCTGTCTCAAAAAAAAATAAATTAATGAATAAAGAGAAAGAAAGAAAAGGAAAAGGTGCAAATAAGAATTTAGGCCACACTCTTGGCATTTTCAAATTACAATACTTGTAACCTACAAATTGATATCCCACTGATTATGGTAAATGTATGACAATAGTATCATTTCAATACCTGTTACTTTTGTCTTTTTTTTCTGTCCATTACTCACTCTTAAATGAGGAATAAGAAGAAAATACTCCAACTTTCAAACTGTTATTCCAGATTCTGCAGGGATTTTCTACTAGAATTCCTTTAAAAAAATAGAAATTGAGGTTATATGTTTTCTGTAGGAAAAGGAACCCTTGGAATAAGACAAATTAGCAAACACATCTGGCTCAGGTGTTATTAATCAATGACTGCAGGATGGGAGGAGGTCAATCCAAAAGATGAAGCCAGATGAATGACACTAAAAAAGATCAGGGGCTCATAGTTACATAAAATTTGACAAATGAGATAAAGTTTAAATAATTACTGGTCCCTTTGCTCTCAAGTTGCATATTATTATTTGGTGAGTTTCATCTGAATAAACACATTTTGGTGGTGGTGTAAGTAGAGAAGGAGGAATGATTTTTCCCAGCCTTACACCCTCAACAGAGTGGGTCCTGTTTACCTGCTTAGGAGAACTAGTTTGATATCATGTTAGCAATTTAAGGAGTAAACTAAAGGATCCACTTCAATTCCAACACCAGCAAAGAAAAAAGCTATTCTCGTTTAAATGAAAATTCAAGATTGCTAGTATAGTCTGTTGTTTCAGAGCACATATGAACTGTACAAGTCTTACAAGTTTGACCCTTGTCTTCAAGTCCCTAAACTGGAATAAAACCAGATAAATGCCTGAGGAGCCACTTCACACCCTAAACACGTGCAAACTTTGCTCAACAGAACATTTTACTGCCAAAATGGAGTTGGCAGAAGTTTGGAGCAAAGGCCCCCAGGCTGCATGATTTGCTGGCACCAAAGAGCTTTAAAATCTTAACATAATACTGCCGAGTTTGAGTACTACCAATTTGCTTAAGACTCCTCCCTCAAGTTTGACTTGAGAAAAATGGAAGCTTCCATCAAGAAAGTGTTTATTAGTACTTTATCCTCTATTCAGAAATAATTTTATTTCCCATTCCTGATTGTCATATCTCCATATTCTTTGGTAACTATATTTACGTAGTAAATCGAATGCAGTCTATTTTGAAACGCATGTAAATGCAATTTTATTGGGTTGCTTGGATAAAGGGGCACAAGGAGAAGTATTATAAATACACAAAATTTATGATAAAGTTCTACTTAGAAAACACTTGATCAAAATAATCCCCATATATCACAATTTATTACCCTAAAAAATGTCGAGGAAATTAAGATACAGAATTACGCCATTTTACATCTGGTTCAGTTTGTCTTCTCACTTGTCTAAGTTTCAGTGATGGTAGTTTACTTTGTACGTGAACAATTTAGGAAAGCCAGAAAAGAAGCCAAGAAGAGTTCTCTTCAACAAGGGTCAACAATAAAGTCCTATTTAGGGTATTCATCAGCTTGATGCTATTTAATGGGAAAAAACTTCACATGACTTTTTAAATTGCAGTTAGAGTACTGGCAACTATACAACCAGCAACTTTAAACATATAAATGCTTGATAAATATGCAGTATTTAGAAACTATGGTTTGCTTTGGAAAGATATCTTGAGCTATGTTTCAATAAGAGACCAGGCTTAAAGATGCTACTCACTCTTCATCAACCTAAAAAAAAATTTTGTGGATACTTTCTATTCTTTTCTCTCAGTAGCTCCATGAATTTTATTAATGTCTCTGACAGCCTGTTTTTCCTTCTCTAGAACCTCCTAAATATTCTCATTCTCAGCTCTGATTTCATATTTCCACCAGTTTCTAGTCTATAATAGTTGGAAACATTTAGGACAAAATACTCTTTAGGATATTAAGTTGCAGAACACTGTAGTTTAAAAAATATTTATATAGTAGTGCTGCCACCTAAAGATGAGGTGAATAAAGCAGCAATTCGAAAGAAATGACCCATCATATTAAGCAGTGTCAGAAATTTTCTCATCTGTAGGAATTAATAAGCCTTTCTCATCTGTAGGAATTAATAAGCCTTTTGTTGTTGTTAGTAAGTTGAATTGTTTCACAATAACTTATCACTGAGCTGTAATTTTCTATGCAGAAAATTTCAAACTCAAACCTTTTAAGAGTCCTCTGGGATTCTTCTCAGCCATTCAGCACTGTCTACAATATATAAGAGGGGGCATCAAAAGATACCTGGAAGAAAACAATTGAGGGATTTCTGGTTTAGTGGATAAAGCAGGTGACAACAGACCTAGGCTTTTCCCTCTATCCGTGACAGGCTCCTTGAAATTCCGAGCAACTGACTTACACTTTGGTAACTCCATGTTTTTCATGTATAAAATGGGATTCATTATACCTCATTCCTGCTTGCTTTGCAGGCTGAACTAGATAAGCTTCTGGGAAACTGGTCCTCTGAGAAGTGAGTTTAAGTCTACCATTGCCTAATAAAAGGGTATTTGTGGTGTATTTGCAAAGTAATTTCAGAATAACATATACTCAGTTAAATAGCTTAGGACAATGACTAAGTTTTCCTAAATCACAGGTTGACTTCTCAGAGGTATATTTAAATAATGATAAAGCTGGTAAAGGCAGTTTTCCATTTATCTTACAGCAGATAATTATTAGTGATCCATGTTATTCTATGTAAGCAGTGTTGCGGAACGGAGATTCCACAGCATACAAAGCGAGGCAAACAGTTACCGTGCACCAAAAACCTTGTCAAACTTCTGGTAAGATTTCAAGAAAACTGTCTTAAAGAATATTTTACAGCTCTGCATTTCGCCTTTGCATAGCAATGTATGAAAATTAACTTTTACTCTCTCCCTCTCGACCGAGGACGCATAAAAATATTTATCAGGGTTTTGTCCTTAGTCACATTCCCTCAAAGGGGCCCGGCTTCACCTACTCTGCGTGGGAGGCAAGGCAGCAACCCGCGCTTCCTGTCAAAGATTCCTGGGGCTAGAACCCAAATGTGGTCTAGCCTTTCTTCTTTATGTTAATTCTGCTTTTCCACCCTTCTCAGCGGGTGTCTGAAGTCCAAGGTGAGACCCTCCGGAGAGATGAAAGGCCCATTGCCTTTCAGAGAGATGGGGGCGGTGTGAGGGCGAGGGGCGTGTGACGAGATGGTAGCGGAAGCCGCAGCGACGCTGAGGGCCCTAATTTGGAGCTGGCGCAGCTCCTACAAGGTTCTATCCCGCTAGAGCCTGGCCTCGGCCTTCAGAAGCCCAACGAGGGGATAAGTCCTACTTGGGGCGCTCCGGGCGGTGGGCGGAGGAAGTGCGGGCAGAGAGGCCACAGACAGCTCCCTCAGACGAGCTCCGGGGCCTGGGCTGCGGGATGTTCACGCGCCTACGGCGGAGAGCGCGCGTTCACGCGCTAGAAGGGGGCGGAGGAGAGTGCGCTTGGCGGCCCGCGCGGCGGCAACCAAAACCAAGGGACGCGCGAGCCGATGGCGCGAGCCACGGAGAGGGGAGGAGGGGTGGCGAACGCGGAGCGCGCGCTGACGTCGCCCAGAGTCACGCACGGAGCGCCGGGTTACGCGCCGACGTCTGGCTGCCACGACTTGCCGTCTGCGGCGGCGGCGGCGGCGAGCGGATCCCGCTGGGGAAGGAGGAGGAGGAGGGAGAGCCAAGGGGGCTGTGAGTGAGGGGGAGAAGCTGGGTGTGAGCCGGACTTGCCCGCGGGAGGGAGAACGAGCGAGAGCCGAGCCAGCCTTCCGAGCCGCCTCCTCCTCCTCCCCTCGGCGTCCCGCCCCCGCCTGCCAGCCCGCCCTCCTCCCTGCTCAGCCCGCAGAGCTCGATCGAGTGAGGCGCAGCTCGGCTAGCGCCGTTGTCCGGGACAGGTGTGCGCGCGCGCGCCCTCCTCCCCTCCCCCCTCCTCGCGCTTGCCTAGCGCCTGCCTCGCGCGCGCCCTTCCTCCCTCCAGCCTGCGCCCTCCCTCACCTGCGGCAGGACAGCGCCCGCCCGCCCGCCCGCCCGGGTAAGCCCCTCGCGACCTTCCCTGCTGCCACTGCCACAGCTCGAGGTGCCGCCCACCACGTCCTCTCTAATTGCCCTCTCAGCACGGGAATAATTATTGTACCATTGCAGACAACCCCGCACCCTCCCTCTCGGGGACCCAGGCTGTGCAGTAACATCCCCCCCCCCTCGCCCCGCAGCGAGGAACGAATGAACCCCCTTCTATCCCCCCAAAAGAACAAAATAACACGCCCCTTGAAAAAGGAAAAAAGACAATCCTACCTCTGCAGGCGGTGGAGACCACCAGTGATGCCATTTGCTTAGCAATCCTTGAGCCCCATTTCCCCTGACCATCTTCGCCCCAGGGCCTGGGACTGTGCGCCAGACGTGGCCGACACTCCCAGCACAGCAACCCTGGAAGGAGGGGAGAGGAAGGAGCGTTCTGTAATCCAGGCTCCACTGCCTGGATTCCTCGGTTCAACGCGCCCCCCCTCGCCCCCAGTGCATACACCCGCCCAGGGTGCGTTGTAAAAACAAAAGAAAACAAAACAAAAACCCTTTGGTGCTGACATCGCAGATGAAGCTAGGCCCAAAGATGGGTGGCCCGAACAAGGCATTTTTACTGCCCCACAGCCCTAGATCCGCTCGACAGCTCCTCTGCCTTTGAGGGCAAAATGAACGGATGTGAAGCTGAAGGGTCTTCCCTTTGAGCGACAGTGAGCCTCGGAGGCGGGCTGTGATGTTTGAAGGGGAAGGGACCCCATAAATATCTCTGTCATAAGCCTGAACTTGGGTAGAGAGAGGCCCAAGAGACTGGCTGGGGTAACTTTCTTTGGTTCGTAGCTGTCTACCCTGAATAAATGCCGCCTTCATTTCTGCTGAGTCTGCGGGACCCTCCTGAGGGTTCTAATTCGTTCTGATGTGGGCCCCTTACGTTTCTGTCGGGCTAGGTGCTTTTGAACAGCTTTTCGCAGTGGTGTCTGTGCTCGTGTCCCGTGTCCTTGGAAGGGAGGTCCCCGTGCTTTACAATAGGCTGGATTTGGTTTAACATCTTTTGGTGGACTAGCTGAGGGGAAAGGAATTTTTGGATTACTTCAAGACCCCCCACCATCCCCGCCCAACTGACGTTTGCGAATTGCGGCTTTGGAAATTGGAGTGTTGACTAGAGTGTGGAGAGAGTTGCTGATTTCATTCCTTTGAGTAATAGTAAAACCATTTAAATATCAAGCGGAAGAGAGAGAGCTATTGATATTCACATCGGTTCTCTTTGGACCTTTTGGGTCCATAAAATGTTGGGTTCTCCGAATCTTTTATCGAATTTAGAATGTGTGCTACATTTATTTAACTCTTCTGCAGATGCTTAAAATGAAAACATTTGGGAATTGCGAGGATTCTATCACGTGGATTGTTCTCTTCATATTTTAAATGTTTAATTCATATCTTTAATCCTAAACATTAAAATAGCATTGAAGAGGCATAATTTTCAAGATTAGGTGAGCTATAGAAAAGGAACATGCTTTTAAAAAATGATCCGTGAAATGCTGTTACTATTAGTCGTTGTTGTTGTTAAATGTTAAGATTTACTTGAGAGTTTCTCTTAATTTTTCTGGTAGATAGCCATGAGAAGAAATGGGTAATTCCTCCAGTTTGAATATTTGCAGTACAACATTTCAGTTAGTTTTAATGATTTAGGTATTGAAAATAATTGTCTGGTTTAGGACTGTTGTTTAACCTAAGGAGCAATTGAAAACACACGTTTTAATGTTCTTCTCTTTTATTTTGGAAATTTGTGATTTTGTAAAATATTAATCAACATATTGTTTCTGTTGGGAACTCTATAAACAAAAGGGTTTACTACCCAGAGGTAGATACCCTCTCTGCAAGTTTATTTTGTAAATGTGTGTTGATTTTTACTACAAAAAACCAAAGCTGAATTAGATTATTTCAGAATCACCTGTAGTTCAGACTGAGGAAAATTGAGGCTTTTTTCTTTTTTGTTCTGCCTGATGTCTGTTTCCTTGCGCACAATATTATATTGGTGAGAGTTTGTTAAATACAGAGATAATGGGATTAAAAATAAAGCAGTCTTTAGTCTCTTCAAAATATGTGTGTGGTGTTAATAAAAGGGCTCAAGAAGTCTAGAGACATTTATCATGTTTTTAAAGTGTAAGCAAATTTTGAGGAGAAAGGGAATGTTTGTTTTTTGATGATTTTTTCATTAACGCAGATATCTTGCTGCTGATTAATTTGCTGCATATTATATTTCGTTTTTCCTTTGTCTTTCCTGCATTGTCATGGAATTATAAATTTGATTTTACAACTATTTGTTTTAAAGTAACAAATTGAAACAACTGGACCCTAGAACAGACTTTTCATTTACCAAGTTAGTATATTGTTTAGATAATTAACAAATGACTAAAAGTCTTTTTAAGTCCACAAATTTTCTAATGGGTTTTCAATGTTACAATGCAAATATAACTTTGAAATTCTATTTAAAGTTCTAAACTTTTTAAGACTTTTCTGCAAGTTAATAATCACCCCTCCCAGGCTGCCTTTTAAGGCAACTACTGTACACTATTGCCTAAGGAAAGCAGCCTTCCTCCTTAGTCCGAGAAAAAGCCCACACTTAAAAAACTTATCCTGAAATTAACTCTCATGTTTTAGTCATGAATATATGCTAAATCTCCAATTTATCATTGAATTATTTTGGAAAAGCCATTAGTCTCGTTTGCTTTTTAGATACATGTATAAAGTAAGAGAAGCTGACATATAATGGCAGAAACTTTATACATATATAATGAATAGCATAAAGTACTTATTTATGTGCAGAGGTCCAGGTCTCAGTTGTTGGCTGATTTGAACTTAAAATCCCCAGTTTAAGTGCGCAAATGATATTTAACTTGTGTTCTGTCTAGAAACAACAGTTATCTCTGTGTTGAGGACCTAAGTAGTTCCTGGTAGCAGTTGCTTTTTCAGAAAATCAGGGACTTCCAAACTCTAACTCTTCATAACCCCTGTACATAAACGTTTAGGATGGAGGGCAAGAAATTTATACTGTGAAGTTGGGCCAAGAAGGTGAGCCGTCCTGAGACAGTTTTCTGTCCGGGGGCAGCGATCATCAGCAGGAAGAATGGCAGGGACCGGCTGGAGGACTCCATCATCACAATCTCATTGGCCTTCTTGCTGCCTTGAGTTCTCATTAGAGGGCAGGGGCTTGGTTCAGCGCGAGGAGAACTCTTGAGGAAGAGCAGCTGCCCTTCTAAATCGGACTCCACCAGATTTTAACCTCAGTTTACTAGCGGGAGCCTAAAATGCCCCGCCCCATTCTGTGCGGAGATCCTGCTTATCAGCCTTAGCGTCACTGGCGGGGCTGGGGTCTATCCAGGGTCCTGATCGCTACTGTGTGAGCCTGGAAAAGGCTCCGCTTTTTCACACATGTATTTTTGTGCAGTAGGAAGTGCTCCAAAAGTTCCGTGTCCCCTTCCCAACAGACTTGGGGACAGGCAAGGAAGTACAGAAAAATCAGCATGCAGAGAGCCCCGTGTGGTACTACAGATTGCCCCCAAATTAAGGGGAAGTTCCTTTTGAGGCTCAAAGCCTGAGTTTTTATCTCTTAGAGTGGGCCTCCCCTTCAGAGAGCCATTTCAGGGACTACTATGGATATAGGTGGGTGGTTCTGAGGCTGGTTCACAGGACTGCCCCAGTTTGCTCTTTGGTGGCCAGGATGCTTTGCCCTGTTTCTTCCTTTTTAGTGAGAAGTAGCAAACTTCAACTGAGAACTGAAGTCGCTAATGCTGAGTAGAATGGGGCTGTTACTAAGAGAAAAAGGAAGCGGTGAATACCTAGCAGGCAGGTTTGCCCAGGGGGTGAAGGAATATATTAGGGGGCTTTGAGGGTTCAGACATTGACAAGGCTTATATCCTTGACTACTCTTGGTTTCTTGATCGTTAGTCCTCTTCTTACCTTTCCGTTTTCCAGGAAGCTGGACACCCATGTACTCAGTTGTCACTAAGGCTAAGAGTGAGGGAGGCAGGTCTCCTTACTTTTGGGAGAAGAGGGGTACACTCAATGGGAATGAAACGCACAGATGGAATAGGCACACTTTTGTTAGGATGGAGGAAGCAATCTATACTTGAGAAAGCCAGGGGAAAGGCTGTGTGGTCTGTATCCTCCTAGCCCCCTGTAGAAGGTGGTGAGGAGAGTGTAGGAGCATTGGGGGGGGGGCCTGGAGATAGGCCTGGGCTTTCCTACAGTGCCAGGGCTGAAGGCTGCAGTGAAGGGAGTATGAGCATTCACTACCTATCTGGGACATAGGCCCTAGATTATGCATCAGATCTAGTAGGAAAGAAATCGATTATTTCTGAGCCCCTTCTTTACTCCTGAACCATGTTCTGAGACCAGAGAAGATCTCCCTTTAGCTGTCACTGTCCAAAGACTCATTGGTTAATTAACGGTCATAACCTAGCTGCCTGCATAAAAACCAGCGATCATTTAATGTTTTACTTTTAGGGAGTGGGGGCTTTCCTTGACACATACGAGTTTCTTGGAGGAAGAGTAAAAGGGGCAAGTGAACCTGCTTTAATGAATCCCGTAAGGAACTGCGTTTCCCAGGAAATTCCTGACATTTTTAGCTCATGAATTTCCGAAAGCCTGCTTAGTTTTCTCCTCCATTCTGGGTCCTTCCAGAGAGGAGGAAGAGTGGGCTAGGGTCTGAATGCTCGACAGGGCCTGGTTCATCTGCAGAGCTGGCCGGCAACGCAGGCTTGGCTCGGCCCTGAGTAGGGTGCCCCCCTTCCCCAAATCTCAGAAGGAGGAGGGGGAGGCAGGCAGGCAGTCATGGTCCCAAGGGGGGCTGGTTGCAGGTTTTTGAGTGAGTGTGGGGTTTCTTTTTGATTGTTGTTTGGGGAGGAAGAGCAGAGCTGACGGGAACAGGCACTGCGGGCACCCCGGCCCTGGTGCGTCTACTGTCCTCTGCTCGGCTCCCCCCACCGGTGAGTGCGCCCGCCCGCCCGCCCGACTGTGCGGGGCTGCAGTTAGGGGGAGGGGGGAGCGGGATCATCTGAGGCCAGAGCCTGCTGCCGCGTACGCGGGGAGGGGGAGCGAGGGGAGGGACAGGCTAGGTGTCTGCTGCTCCGCGCCACTGCTGCTGACGCCCCGTCCTCATCCCCAGCAGCCCCTTCTGCAGCTAAGGGTAACCACCGCACCACCTCTCTCCTCTTCCTCGCTTGCCTCTGCGGCCAGGGCTCTGCGGTAGGAGACAACTCAGCTGGGTGGCAGGCAGGCCTGTCTGGGTTTAGTCTGACTTAGGCCCGCATGGGAGGGGGTGGCTGTGACTCGGTGTCCCCTCTCTGCAGCAGGCTGTGCTGCGCTGCGCTGGCTCCTCCCCCCCACATCCTCTCTTTGGGGTCACTGGAAAAAAGAGCTTAGGCCTGATCCCCGTGCTTAGTATGGGAGTCCCCTTCTCTTCCCTAGTCCCCAAACTCCCCAGGCCAAGGCCGCTTGGGTCTGGCCAACAGCGACAGCCACAGTGGTGGTGGTGGTGGTGGTGGTGGCAGTGGCGGCAGCTGCGACGCGGCCCGTCCTGCTCCCTCTCCCCCACCCAGCCAGGGTTGTAGGGTGAGGGCCGGTGGGTGGGCGCCGCCTGGCGGTCGGGCGGACGGGGGCTGGCAGCTAGCAGCGGGGAGGGGGCGCAGGTCACGTGCTGGCAGGCGGGTGGGCGCGTACAGTAGGGCGCCCTGCTACTGTACTGGGGAGTCAGTGCCCTGTTACCGGGTCTCGTCTGTCTGGTCTCTCCCGCAGATCTCGCGAGAGTGGCTGACTGGCTGTGGGGGTTGCGGCGGCAGCAGGCGGAGCCGGGGAGGGAAAGCAGCGGCGGCTGAGGCGACTGAGGCGGCGGGCGGAGCGGCAGGCGGCGGCGGCGCGGCAGCGGAGCGCAGCATCATGGCGGACCGAGACAGCGGCAGCGAGCAGGGTGGTGCGGCTCTGGGCTCGGGCGGCTCCCTGGGGCACCCGGGCTCAGGCTCAGGCTCCGGCGGGGGCGGTGGTGGCGGCGGGGGCGGCGGCGGCAGTGGTGGCGGCGGCGGCGGCGGGGCCCCGGGGGGGCTGCAGCACGAGACGCAGGAGCTGGCCTCCAAGCGGGTGGACATCCAGAACAAGCGCTTCTACCTGGACGTGAAGCAGAACGCCAAGGGCCGCTTCCTCAAGATCGCTGAGGTGGGCGCGGGCGGCAACAAGAGCCGTCTCACTCTCTCCATGTCAGTGGCTGTGGAGTTCCGCGACTACCTGGGCGACTTCATCGAGCACTACGCACAGCTGGGCCCCAGCCAGCCGCCCGACCTGGCCCAGGCACAGGACGAGCCGCGCCGGGCGCTCAAGAGCGAGTTCCTGGTGCGCGAGAACCGCAAGTACTACATGGATCTCAAGGAGAACCAGCGCGGCCGCTTCCTGCGCATCCGCCAGACGGTCAACCGGGGGCCTGGCCTGGGCTCCACGCAGGGCCAGACCATTGCGCTGCCCGCACAGGGGCTCATCGAGTTCCGTGACGCTCTGGCCAAGCTCATCGACGACTACGGAGTGGAGGAGGAGCCGGCTGAGCTGCCCGAGGGCACCTCCTTGACTGTGGACAACAAGCGCTTCTTCTTCGATGTGGGCTCCAACAAGTACGGTGTGTTTATGCGAGTGAGCGAGGTGAAGCCCACCTACCGCAACTCCATCACCGTGCCCTATAAGGTGTGGGCCAAGTTTGGACACACCTTTTGCAAGTACTCGGAGGAGATGAAGAAGATTCAAGAGAAGCAGAGGGAGAAGCGGGCTGCCTGTGAGCAGCTCCACCAGCAGCAGCAGCAGCAGCAGGAGGAGACTGCCGCTGCCACCCTGTTACTGCAGGGTGAGGAGGAAGGGGAAGAAGATTGATCAAACTGAATGAAAACCCCCACACACACATGCATACACACATACACACACACACACAGCCACAAACACAGAGAAAATATACTGTAAAGAAAGAGAGAAAATAAAAAGTTTAAAAGTTTAAAAAAAAAAAAGATATAACTGTTAACTCCAAGGGAGCACCACCCACAGAACCTCCACCAACTGACAGTTTCTCTTCTTGACTTGCCACCCATCGCTGGATGTTGTCCACTTTATCCACCATATAAAACAGTAAGCAGCTGCTAAAAACAAAAACAAAAAAATACAAAAAGTAATAACATTATATGAACTGTGTTTCCTACTTGATTAAAAAATATAAAGAACTGAGTGTTTATTTCCCTAATTAACCAAGAACTTTTGTACACGTTTAAGCTATTATTATTAAAGTGTTTGCAAAATGGTCAAGATTATAATATTGCTGAATTATATAAAAGTCCTTTTCATGTTGAGCTAACATTTGACTTTAGCACAAAAAAGAGATATTTTAGAACACGTAAAATAATATTTTTAGTTTTTCTCATTTTGTTACCAAATTTCAAACCTTACATGGAGGTTATTATAGTATATTTGACACCCTATATACCTGTGATTAGAGATGTGTATATATATGAGGGCTAGGCATGCTGTGTGTCTGAGCTTTGTCTAAATGTTATGCAGAAGTTTGTAGAGTTAAAGGTACGTAGGTTTAATTCATGCAAGGTAAACAATAAGTGCTCTCTTTTATACAATATGCATTGCATCTGGACCTTAAACATATAAAAATGGTCAGTGAAACTTCTGTGAACATGAAGAAATTATTAAAAAAAGGCATTTAAATGAAATTTGCTAAGTTGTGATTTTTATGGTTGGAACCAAAGTTATTCAAATAGTAAAAGGAAAAAGAAAGAAAGAAAAAGGAAATCTCCCATAATATTTTTCTGCATCTGTTTGCTTTGACTGAGTAGGTGTTTTGTCATTATTGTGTATATGAGATGTACTTGTATCGTTCATAATATATTTTTTTTATTATGTGTAGAAAGATTTTAAAAAACTAACGTGCAGCAATTTCCAGTGAACCTGTACTTGGACATCAGGTAGTGAGTCTATTTGTGGTCACTAGCACTGTCTCCTAAACTTGTAAGAGGTCTGAAGCTATCCTTTGATTTTTGCCAGTGCTATTAACTATGTAGACCTGTTAAAAAGCAGAGCAACACAATTAGTTATCCTACTGAGCCATGGATTCTGAGTTTAAAAGTGAAAGCCAAGTTGGTGTATGTAAAGGATTTCCATGTAGCTGTGGTGCTAGTTATTACTGGCTACATTATATGCTAAGTGTATTTGTGTTCCCCAAGTGTACAAGCCTTCTATCAAAAGTATGTTCTATAACTCATATATTCAAGGTGTAGGGTATGAAAATGCAAAGCTTAGGAGAGCACTTTATCAAGCTGGTGTCCTCCAAACTGAAATTGTTTGTAACGATAGTCTTTTACAGGTTTTCATTTAAAGATGTTTGTGTGCTTTTAATTGACAACTAATTTCTTGCTGCTGTATAGTAAAATATTAATATATTTTTATCATTAAACTGCTGCATGACTATCATCTTTGAGTGAAGAGAAAATGTTATAAAAAAGATGCCTTAAACAGTACATTTTGGTTTGGAATTCTGTAGAAAGTATTTTGGTAAAAAAAAAAGAAAAAAGAAAAAAGGATCTTGTCTGACAGAGTTCTGGGGATGGAATTGTTTCTTGGCAAATCCAGCCATATAGATCTAACTGCTGTATGTAGAAGACACCACCTGTAGGAGCGGGAAGGTATCAGTGCTTCTCATATTGTAAAGCATTGGCCTAGGAAGGTGAAACAGTTGTCTTTTTGAAGGATTTTTTTTTTTCTGCTGGTTCTTTGGGTTTTGATTTGATATTTTTAAGCTCCCTGGTTGAGTGTGTTGTCTTTGTTTTTGAGATCTACTGTATGTGTTGAATAACAAGCTATTTTCATTGTACTGTGCATTTTCCCATTAAATTGTTTGCTTTTAATATTCATACAATGTTAAATATGAGGTGACCGTACAGTAGTTAAGAGTTTCTTTACTTACAAAATCACTGGAAATGATTAAATTGCTTTTCCCCTTCCCCTAAGGTGCATTTTTCTTATTTCCATATAGTAAAGTTGAGCTTTTACAGTGCATAATGTGACATTTGGAATGCTTATCAATTGCATGTAAACATTAATAACCTGCACTTTTTTGTCTTAAGGTTTGTTGAGCTGTTTTGTTCACTGTACTTTAACTGTGATATGGAAAAGACTGCATTCTATGTGCTGTTATTAATTAGGAAAGAGAATTGCTTTGATTTTGTCTCTTGTTTACTATAGCTTAAAGTTAAGCCTTGTACTACAGGTTGTTGGAGTACTCCTAGATCAGTGTTTCATAGTAGCCAGCAATAAGTAGTGCAAGTCAACAAAAACACAGCAAACTTAGGCAAAGTGTCCTTTCTTTGAGATGCGAGTTCTTTCATGAGGTTTTCTTTAGGATCAGAGTTACCTAAAGTGAAGCCTTTCTTACCTATAGACTTCAGATTCTGCTTGGAATCCTACCGGATCAAGAAGCACATGTATTGTGCAATTGTCTTTACACTATAACAGTTGAACACAATCTTACTAAGATTTTAAAACCAGTGTCCGATTTATGGCCAGTGGGTTTAAAAAGTAATCCACATGCAGATCTTTTAAGACTTAAACAGTGATCATAGAAAAGACTAAGTGACTGTAAAGATGCTCTTTTTTAAGCATCTCACTTATCTCCCCAAGCACCCTCCCAAACCTTCCCTTTTCCCTTCCCCTTTTTCATCCTTTCCCTACCCTTCCCCTCCCCCCACCCCTAGGTGCTCGGTACTTTACCAAGGTTCTATATCTCAGTGTTTTATGTTGGAGTTTTTCCTTGTTTTTATTTTACTAGTTGGTAAACCCTGTTTGTGCTGAAACAAAAAAGGAAATGGTGTATTTGACCATATGTGTTATTCATAGAAGACAGTATGATCAAATGTGCCAAAAACAAGCAAACAAAACTTAATTCCTGACAAGTATGCCTTATTTTTATTGATCTGCTTTGTCTTACAATTAAGGTCCAAGAGCTTGGTTAAACTGTATTATTTGCCTAAGTATAAAAGAAAACTTGAAATGCATTGCAATATTGACATTCTTTAAAATGAGAGACACTGTCAAGTAATTTAATCCAGAGATCAGCCACCAGATTTGAAATGCTCGTGTGTGTGTGTGTGTGTGTGTGTGTGTGTGTGTGTGTTTGGACTTGTTTGTTTTTTTCTTTTAAATCACCAAATCTTTTTTTTTAAGCTACTTTTTATTTGTGCCTCCTATTTATCATGCTGATGTTAGAAGCAGCAGTCATCCAGCCACAGAGGGAGCTAAAGTTAACTAACCAGAACTGTAGAAATCATTATACATGCCTTTGACAACAAAGGAAGTTCATAAGAAAAGCCATGTTGGCTTTTCCTCTACTAGATACAGATTGGAGGTAGATGAATATTTGCCAAATGGAAAAAAAAAAAATACAATGCTAGTCAGGAAAGACAAACTGTTTTCCAGCTTCTCAAAAGCCATGGAGAGTAGAAACCAAAACCAACAGGGATATAAAAAACCTTGAAAGTCTCACTTTCTAGTTGTCCCATGCAGGGGTTGAAATTTGACTCAAATCGGAAAGTATATCACTATTTTTTTTAGGCCTTTACTATGTCTAGAGACAGATAACTATTCCAATTTGATTTTTCAGGTAATGGAGAAAGCTGCTAGTAATTTTAACCCCTGCCTAAAGAAGACAGATAATTACATTTGGGAGCAAATACTTACTGCCTTGAAAAATAGCACTGTAATAGCCTATGATAATTAGTCATAGAATAACCTTTATCCCTTTCAAACTATGCAAATTATTAAATAAGTGCAAATTAGGATTCAATTAAAGATAGTTGATTATATTGCAATCAAATGGCATTCACAAACTTAACTGGAGCATATACAAATAAAATCTATTAGTCTAAGAGTTTTTTATGCTAACAGAAAAATATAATTTAGCTACCTATTCTAAAAATGGTGAATATTATTAATATTGTATAATAGGATGGGGAAGACTGCCTCCTTTTTTGAAGAGAAAGATTAAGGATTTTTGTAATTGTTTTTCATCAAATTTTAATATTTTTGTCAAATTTTTAGGTATTTAATTTGTAAAACAGTTTGCTTTGTACTGGCATACAGAAAATAGGGTATTGATTTTAAACTTTTTGAAGCCAAGTGATCAAGTACATTTGTAATAAAAGTCAATGGATGTATATCAGTTGTACTCACTGTTTTTATTTCTTATTAATATAGGGATGCTGTACTTTTTCCTGCAGGAAAACTGAACTAAATTTGGGTGGAAGGGGGGGAAAGGTAAATCTGTTGACAATGAGAATTTGGGTGGGTATCATCGTGGCCCAAGCACTTTATATCATCTTTAAGTCAGTTAAGATTTGGTATATTTTAAAAGATGCTATGTCAACTTTTTTCTCCCTATTTTCTTATGGAACTTGATATTTAGGGGGATTATGTCATTCATTTTTGTGTCTGTGCTTTAACGTTTTACGTTTTGGCACTGTTGAAAGTTTCTAAACTAACATTTTTTTAATGTTATTTTGGGTTATCAACCAGCCCTGGTGACCCCAACATGGGCATGATTATTTTTATCTCCTACATATGGTTCACCCTCTCTTCTACAATATTCCCACTCATTTTTTCATGTTACACACATGTATGTGCACACACATTTCCAGATCATTTTAGAATGGGGCTTTCTGAAACTTGCTACAGTAGTTTCTTTGCTCCACAATTGCATTTTATTTTACATGTGAGCATACTTTTAAGATTTTCTTCCCCATAAAAAGTGAGATACCAAATCTAATGACTTTTTTCCCCTTTTCAAAGTCTTTTGAATATCAGAATGAAACATTGCTTTCAATGTAAAAGGATGTTAAAACAAGGGCATCTTTAGCAACTTAGGTTTGGAACAGTTGTTGATAGCTCTGAGTATAACATTTGTAGTTATCCCTAAATTTTAATATCTTAATAATTTGGAGATACACACACACACACACACACACACACACACATTCTGTGAAGGTGGATTAAATAGGAGAGAAAATTTATTGGAATTGCTTAAGCAAGTAAATTCACCAAAGTTATTTGTGCAAAGTTGTCTGTTAAGGCGTATCATTTTTTAAATCATACATTATAATATTTCTGTTTTCTTCATTGTATGTTAACCAAACTTAGGCCATTCATAATGAAATATGCTATAAAACTAAAGTGATCACTGCTATTAAAATTTCTGTTTTCACCTGGCAGGATTAATTACTATAGAGTCACCTTTGCAGAATTTGCAACATATTTTTAAGAAAAATTAATTTTAACTTAAGTTAACTTATTTGATTCTAAAGCAAGACCTAAATTGAAGGTATAGAGCATTTGACAGGCTCTTTTTGAACAGAAATTTCATTATTATGGACTAAGTGAAGATAATCTAAATTAGCATTAAATCAGATAGAATTTCATGATGCAAGAACCACCAGATGAAAGAAGAAAAATATGACTGGTTCCAAGCCAACAGTTTGTCATCTTTCATCTGCTAAAATAACTACAAAGTTTTGATGTTGAATGGTCTAGGCAATTTGTGTCTTTAGGAAAGTTAAGTATGGCAAAGGTCACTTGTTAAACATTTTTGTTAACAAGAATTTCATATTATTCATTTTTTTTCCCTCATACTCTGTTTGATATTTATTGTTTTTTCTTTTTTTCCTAATGTCCTTTGCTTTTGTGGAAAATTGTCTTGATAGGTAGAAACATGGTGGTGATCCTCTATGTAAAATAAAGTTGGTTCTTACAGATCAGAAATATTTAACTCATTTTGGAATCACAAGACATTTATGTTGATACATACTTTGTTTTGTATTTTCATTAATACATACTTTGTTTTGATTATTAATTTACATATTTAAATTTTTGTAGCATTTCATGAGAAAAATTTTAAACTAAAGAGTTTAATTTTCTTAATTTAGGGTCCACTTTAATAATTCAAGAGCCCTCCAAGTTCAAGGACCAAGTCCTTATATTCTAGAATTGTAAAAAACATGGAAATACTCTTGTTAGTGTATGTTTTGGTTTAAGATGGATTAACACAGAAGGATCCTAGGAGGATTTAATAAAAGATATCCTTATCATGAAGTGGCAGTTAAAGTTATGGGACAGGTGATTATCTATTCACCTTGACTAGTCAAACAATGATGGCCATCAGCTAATGACTTATAAGACACATGTTAAGATTGGGTCAAACTCTCATTCAGCTGGAGTGGATCGGCAATTTTTAGTGCCGATAGTTGTTGGTGGCACTTGACCTACCTCCTTAACATAAACATTTGGCATCTTCTCTCTCCTATTATCCTTTTTCCTTGTTTCTCTCCTTTTCTTTTGTTATTCTTCTTGCCATAGGCCTGCCAGTGGCACTCAAGCTTACCCCCTTCAAGAGAAGTAAAGAAATTGCTGACTCCTGCCTTAGAACATAGCTAATTGACGATCGAGAAAGATTTCTATATTATGAGGTAATTGGACAGTTTTTTCTGACTGCTGTTTTTCCCATAGTCTTAAGTTGGCATTTTGAAGGTCATCAAATTAATGTTTGTTAAGAATTTGTGAATTGAAGAGAGTATGAAGTATGTGTATTTTAGGTTAGTTATTGGGAACTGACACTTACTGGTTTGAAAATTTGAGAACAGAAAGGGGAGAGCCGTTTAATGTGTTTGTGAATGGGTTTGTGAGAGGTATATAAAGGAAGGGTTTGGAGGTAAAGTGGGAGGAATTTTTATTGGAGGTAGGAAAAGGTGCTAAGATGGAGTCTAAATGAGAATTGTTTGCTAAGAACAATGAAGTTGATCTTCACTAAAGGAGTTGCAACAAAGCCAGAGAAAAATGGGTCCCTCATTTGTTATGAGAAAGCTGTTAATCTATAGCTAGAGTTATGATGATGATGCATTATACAAATCTGTTTTCATATATAGAATGTGTGCTTTTCTGGGACAAATTAAGTAGCACAATTGTGGAATGGCAGCTTTTCTAGTTATGGCAAGTTGGTGCTGGGGACTTCTTATTTTTTGAAAAAGAAGATAAGAAAATTTCAAACTTTTTCAGTTACCCTTTTTAAACCATTAGAAATATTTATCATACAGACTGTTTTCTTGGACTTTTGTTATAATGTAGTTTACTTTTATTTTTCACAATTATCTTTAGCTCAAATTATTTGATTTTGCTGTCAACAAAGACCCATATTACTACTTGCTTTTATAGAACTTTGAGTCTTTGGTCCACATAAATTTCTTAAAAAAGGACAATAAGCCAGGTAAAAAACACTAAATTGCAATTTTTAAGTACCTTTTCTATTTCTTTTACATCTGTAATCCTAGTTACCATTTAATCTTGTGAACCTCATATAGCCCTCAATAATACTATCTTTGTAAAGTTAGACCACATACCCCCCGAACTTATGTTTCTGTTTGTTTTCCCACTTTTTATATAGTGTTCAAGAGTTCAGCAGATTTAATAATATAACTTAGTACATCTTGGAGGTTCATAATGTCTTTTGTAGGTTGAACTGATAGTGTTTAGATTTCTGTTCCCATTATCCTAGTAGTGTTTTAAATTATGTATGATAAAGAATTGCTATAATATTTGTTTTTGAAGTTACAAAACAGTAAGTCCATTTAAATCCATTTGGATTAACTCTTTGTCAAATTTAGTATGGATTTATTCCCAGTGATTTTTTTGACAGATTACTTTCAAGTTTCATTTTACTCATATCTCTATAAATTAATGATAAAAATCTCTTTAAAAATAGCCCCCCAAAAAAGAGCTTCTGATTTTATACGTGCAAGGAAATTTTTCTTTTTTTACGAATATAAAATTTATTAACAATAGCTGGATTATTTTTATTATAGTTTATTTTGTAGTGTTGGCACTTAGTAGAATTTCCATATTTTATTGTGTGTCAGATTTTAAATTATAATACAGTTACGTGTTATAACTTGTTAAAGTCAGTGCAAAGCCTTCTTAAATAGCTCCTTCCTTAGAAATTGTTTGTAAAGAAGTGAATTCCCAAACCTGTGTCAAGAAGCAGTTATTTAAATGACTGTGAGACAAGTTTCTGAAAGACTCCCTAAGTCCAGTCAGTGGAGATAAATGATAGCCCATTTCCATGCTGCATACAGTTGTTAGGTTTATAAAATTGTCAATATGTATAAGTGCAAAAGCAGGAAAGACTATAAAGTTGCCTGTAAAATTTCTAGTTTTCATTATTTGCACTATTTATCTTTGCACTTGATTTTTTGAAAGTTAAGACTAGTCACTTTCACTTTTGTTTCTAGTCTTTTCTAATTTCTTGCAGAATTATGTTTTCAATATCCCACCCAAAGCAAAACTTATATGCAATTAAATATGCTTTATAAGGCCAAGAAAATATTTCTTAGTGTTAGCTATTTAAAACAAAAATTTGTTTTGATAAAATTTTTAATATGGGCCTTTATTTGCCAATAAATCCTTTGTAAATGTGGGTTTTATTAAGCTATTTAAATAGAGTTAAAGTTTAGGAACTATATATGTGTGTGTGTATGAAATGATGTCTTTGAGATCCAACTTCTGGCCTGAGATGGCCTGGTTTTGAAGTGTTGGTCTGTTTTCACTGAAGTCAATGAGATCTGAGTCTAGCTGGGTACATGCTTAAACAGCTGGAAGTTTAGTGGGTGGCTTTAAATGGCAGCTCCCTCTTTCGTGTAGGTTTCCATAATGTTCATATAGTTTCTTCATTGTCTATGTGATACAACTGATATTGACATAATTATATTAAATGAATATTCCATTTTGGAATTCAGGGTTGAATCACTTTTTGAGGGTGAAGGACATCAAGGCGTATGAGACTTTATTTTAACCAGATGCAGTCTTATGACCTCAAAGATGTGCTCTAGAAAGAAAAGAACAAAAAGTGTACCTGTGAACATATTTTTTTGTCTTAGTGAGATTGTGCAACACAGTGTTCAGAATTGCAAAAAAAACAAACAAACAAACAAAAAAAACAGTTTTACCAATGGAGCAGAGAGGTGTGTTTTGGGCTAAAATTTTTTTGTAAGTTATTTAATTTACTTTATATTCCCTTTCTCATAGCTTTTTACGCACCTCATACTTAAAACCAAGCAAGAGGCCTCTTTTCAGATCTGGTTTATTTTTGGAATGCCTGAGTGTGTTTCTGGATAGGGGGTTGGTGGTGTTTTAATTCTTGACATGCTCTTCTCAGCATGTTTTGCTAGTCATTCTGGATCTTATGTTTGCAAATTCTGTTGGAAATTCAGTGATGTATTTGAAATGAGAAAGTCCTTTATGACATAGTGTGAATGTTTGTGGCCGATTCTATTGTGGAACCTTGTGGCTTTGTTTTTACGTTGGATAGAAAGTTTCATTTCCATTGTTCAGATTTTAGATTTATCTAGTGGAATTATGCTAGGTAGTTGTCTAAATGTGAACTAATTTTGGGAAATGAAGGTTAATAAATGTGTATTTGACTCTAGATAATCCTTAACTCAAAATCATAAGTTAAAGGCTCACATCATTAGAATTATCTATGCTTTATGTTTTCAAATCTTTAAATGTGGATGTTGTTCAGCATTATATCTATGAATTTCCTTTAGGTAAAGAGAAAAATTTAGTCTTCAAATCTTTTCTTGGAGACTAAATTTACCATATATGGAAAACGAAAAAGTTTAGAAAGCGGCTTTATTTTTAATGGAGTTTAACCAGCTTAATTATTTTTTTCTAGTTTGAAGCACTTATATCCCAAATGTGAATAAAGGGAAAATATCAGCAATTAGCCCTCCCCCTTTTTGAGGCCATTTTTAGTTTTCTGCCCCCATTTCCCAATCCTGGTATAAAATGAATTACGGGTATCCCTCTAAGTCCCTGTAACCCTTTTGGGGGTCACAGATACATTTGATAATCTAATGAAAGTGATGAACCCTCTCCCCAGAAAAAAAATGCATGTACACAGATAATTTTGCATATAACCTCAGGGGCATCACACATGTTCTGAAACCTAAGTTAAGGATCTCTGCTCTAAGTAAACTCCGTAGAGAAAATTTTAATACTAATTATTGATAAAATTAGGAACTAACTGTTGGCTTCAAATATTTCAGATTGGAATTATTGTTAGATGGTGGCCCCTACTAGTAAAATGTGACATTGCAACCAGCTTTGTTAGACAATAAAACATCTAGACAGAAGGAAAAAGAAGCAAAGTTCTGAGAGCTATTTATATGGAGTCAGGGCATCCCTATATGTGGGAGCCATTACTGGTTCAAGACAGGGGTCAGGGTGCCTGACAACTTCTAGCAGGGTAGAGTTTGATAAACCACAATGCTCAGGATGCCAAGGGGTTAACCATTATCTTAACCCCTTCCTCACCAAAAGATTTTAGTTTTGTCTATTGGGAACAAGATGTCACTAGGGAAAAAAAAGATTTGCCTTACAGCTTTGCTGGAACACATCAGTTTGGTGACGTATGGGACACTAGTGTTATTTTTGAGAAAGTGCATAAAACCAAAGTAAATTATTCTCTATGTAGAACATTATTTACTAGTAATATTTGTTTGGGTGTATTAGCTTTGACAATTTTTACCAGTAAATATTGGTTTTATTGAAAACTGGGAATCCAGTTTATAAATAGGATAGTTGATATATCTGTTCTTTCCCCTGTGTAAAGAATAGTTTAAAGATTTATGCACACTTTTTACTTTTCTCTCTTAATGCCATGGGGTGGGCTGGGAGGGTGGGGGAAGATCTTTGAGTCAACAACTGACAAAATGTCTTCAAATTTAAAAATTGAAAAGCAGCACTTTAAGTCTAACTCTACACCATTTTATTGCATGTATTAGTTTTAATACTTTTTGGTGCATGCCTTTGGGCTTATTCAAAAGTGTACAATAGGAAAGTATATTTCCTTTCTTAGAAAGGAGATGTTTTTCTACTTTGCAACATGTGATTACAAAAATCTTCCTCTGTGGGAAGATTAACCATGTATTGAACTACTGAAAAGTATATATTTTTAGATATACAGAAGGAATCTACATGGAGCAGCATTCAGACCTATATAGAAGTCATAGCATTCTGTATAGGACCAAAAAGGAAGTAACCTTAAACACTTAAACAGACTTTGTTGGGTAGAAATACCTTTAGATCTTGCAATGACTTCCAAAAAGAAAATGCCACAGAAGTTTGCTGAAAACTTTTGTTGTTTGAATTTTCTCTGTCAGTGTATTTAGCCCAAATACAGCAGCTTTGGGTTAGCACACACATAAGAATCAAAAAAACAAACCTAACTAAATAGTTCAGTCTGGTTTGCCAATCCAGTTTGACTGAAATAAATAATCACTTAACAACATGAAAAACTGTCCAACTCCTCTAAGGTTTTGACAAAATAACCTTGGCTGATGTGGGAAGACTCCCACTTTGATTTCTGACCTGACAGTGAAGATTCATGCTTGACATGATTTCAAACCTGACAGTGTCTGTTTAAGGAGCTATGGTACAGTTTGCTAATTCAATCCCAGATACCTGTTGATTACCTGTGAGATCTAGAGTCCAAAGTAGCCAGCAGCCGTATCCCTGAGTGCTCTGTGCCCATCAGATATCTTAAAGTAAGCAGGGTTGGGACAGGTCGCAGCTTGGAAGATTGACCTCAGGTGCTGTAGACAGACCCAGATTCAAGAATTGTATCTGCTTTCTTGGGAGTTGTCACTGAACTAATGTCCCACACTGTGTTACTGTAGATGCTCTCTCTTAGAGGAGGACCAGAGCACACATCCTAATCCCTTGTGGTACTCAGAGAGGGGGTGCTAACTCTGATGCCCTGGCCAAATTCCAGTTTAGGGATGTGGGTCTTCTTCTCATTCTAATTGGAAATGTGCATCACTTCCCATTTTTCCTGTTGATCTCAGTGCAAACTACACTAGTCTGTTTCTTTGCCCTGGTCCCAAGTCTCTAACATGCTGGCGTGTATTTTATGGGCCAAGTTCATGCCTTATCCTAATGCACAAGAGTTGAGGAATGGGTGAGCTTGGCGTCAAAGTGCCCTGTGGCTAGACTGGACTCTTGTGATGCTGTGGGGATGCAATCGGCCCTCTTTTAGGATAAGTTGGGGAATGTGCACTGGCCAGAGGCTTCCAGCCATGAGATGTGAGCTGAAACCAATTTTCCCTCTTTTCTTATAGCATGTTGAAAAAATCTGTTGGGTTTTCAGCAGTCAGGGAAGGCCGGAGTTCTGCTTTAATCTGGGTAACTGAGGCTGGTTTGAGCAAGACTTTGGTTAATTAACTGGGTTCTCAGATGCCACAGACTCCGTGAAAAGTCACCATTATTTTCAATGGTTGTGATAGAATTTCCCCTTAGTAGCCATTATTTTAAGATTATATTGCAGAGTTGCTTTATTTTGAGCTTTCGTGTATACACAATCCCAAACTGGAAGAAATTAAAAAAAATGGAATCCTGCTGTGAAAGGTATATATTACTCTAGATTTTTCTTACTGTAAATATTGTAAGATTGTAATACTGTCGATATTTTATTAACCAACAAATGTTAATCTATGTGAATTCAGACTTATTTTAAATGTGCTTCTTATTTACTGTGTGTGGTCCCTGTTGCTGACAGTATTAAGTTATATTCTGATGTAAGATTAACTTTATTAAAGAATGTAAACATTAATGTTTCCTTATGGGAAAACAAATAAAGTATAAAGAAGACAATTCTTTTCCTTGAAATATACTGTGTATTTACACTTGCTAGACCCAGCACCACTTATAAATTTAGTACACTGTTCAGAATTTTAGTTAACACAGCTGACATGGTTGTGCTCTGTTTGAAAGTCTAAGAATAGGTATTGTTGGAATATAAACAGTTTGTATTTGTCTGCTGTGAATCATGATCTTGAAATTTCTAATCAAGTTTGTAAAATTTTTATAGTAAAACATTTTAATGACAATTTAAAAATTTATCTTCTCTAAAGAATGGTCAAAAGAATATCCTTTCAGAAATAGAATTGTTCTTTAATATCTTTCCAAAATTATTTTGGTTAAATGGACCAGATGTATATTAGTTCAAATTTAGGACTAAGTTGTTGATATTCTTTGAGTTTACAAGTTAATCCTTATTGGAGATGTGCCAATATACAGTAGAATATCATTAATTTGCACTGTTTGGGGACCCCATTTAAGAATGCTGAATTTTGCCAACTAAGAAGTAAGCAAATGCAATTTAAAAAGTAAATTTGAGCATTCTGTATTAAATATGTGCAGTTATTATCACATGAAGAAGCGCAGTGTGTCGGGCTGTAATATAACCATATTTGCTGTCATGTTCTCCCATCTCAGTGCTGGGAACTCACCATGTGGAAACCAAGCAAACGTGTTGTGCATCAGCCGGCTTGAGTTTGTTCAATATCAAAGCTGAAACTAGCGAGGTCTGCTGTACTGCTTATTGAAGTATTGTGATTCTTTTAGGCATTGATTCTTACAAAATATATACTGTAACAGTATACTTTGTACAGATTTAAATTTTATTTGAAAAAATGAAATAAAGTAGGCAAAAAAAATAAAGATGTTTATTTTTCATGTGACTATATAAACAGATCAGTCTTTTGTTTCAGTGTTTTTTGCGGGGAAGGGGTCTGGTTGTAGTAAGGGGTCTGGCTTTTTTTTTTTTTTTAATAGAAACCAATTTTAGGACTCAGTAGCAGGTAGACTTGCCTATTACTTAGGATCATTAATTGGGCTGCAAGCATTAAGTATGTTCCCTCACACTAGAGAACTCTTATTTCTGTTTTATTTTAAAACAGTTTTGTTTATTTGGGGGGACTTTATGTGAATGGCCTCCCTATATGCTTCTTGGGTAGGTTTTTTAAATTTTCTAATGGTGAGATGGTTAACCTAGCCATCATATTGAAAAAAAGGGAAAAACTTTCCCCATAGATCATGTTCCTTTCTCATGGAAGAGTTTTTCTTTTTTGTCATTTTAAGTTTGAAGTTGGTTTGGGGTAGTCAAAGGGTTACAAAGGAGCACATAACAAAAGATGAAGAGAATCTTCTGCAGAAAATAGAGGTTGTGCTTTAAAATAAGATCCCTTTCAAAACTGTTTTTCTAGTGAGTGAAATGGCAGACAGTGAATGAAGTTACCAATAAAAAACATGGCACAGGAGCGATCCTTCAGGATAGTTTCAATAGTTCCTTCTCCTAGAAGAGTAGATCATCTGACCAACGAGAAGTACCCCAGTTTTGACCTCTAACTCAAAAACCTGCAGAGGCTTGAGGTGTATATTTTCCTTAGCTTTTGGACGTGGAGTTTGAAGTTTTATTTGTGGTTTTCTCCTTTTATTTTTTTTATGTTTTCCCTTACCTTCAGGTTGGGTATGAGAAAGGCTTGAAACAAGTAATTCTCTAAGTTTTCTGACAAAAATCACACTATGGAAAACATATATGACAATTATTTAAATATATGTGACAATGATTATATTCTAAAAACTGATGCATAGCCATAGGATATCTCAAGTTTGTGGTGTTACAGTTCCAAGCTTCCCTGAGTAAATCCCAAGAGAGTTTATTGTGATTATTGTTTTGCTGTTCTCTTGCTAAAATGGCCCTCCTTTGTAGAAGACAGCAGGATTGAACAAGCGTCCACCTCTGCACCTCTGACAACTACCAACTCCAATAAAAAGAACACAGAAACTTTGTTTTATGAAAACTTAAAGCTGAGGGTGCCACTGTTTTAGAGAGACAGGTGCCATGCCTAAGAAACTCCAGTTTTCCTTAAGTTCTATAGTACCTCTGATTTTTTTTTTTTCGATGGGGGGGCAGAAGACAGGTAGGTACTTCCTGAAGAAGAGTCCAAATACTCCTGTTTCCTCAGGGTGACATCAGGTAAATCCGTGGGTCCCAGTCTAAGAGGAGGGCTCTCAAGTATAGGAGTTGTGGAAACTCCAGCCATGAATCGCTCCCTGTAAGTATAAAGGAGTGAAAAGCCAGAAGCCACGCCCTTTCCTAACTGTCCTATGGCCTTAATCTTTTAAAGATTCCCAAAGTGGGACCATGATTAAATATGCGCAGTGGGTCAATTTGGAGAGCAAAAGGCTCTGAGGTGAGATCCTACTGCAGGGCTGCTGGAGGAACATTCTAGACTTGAGATAGATCTGAACTACAGGGCAAAGATGGTAGGGCCTCGGGAGCCCGTCAAGAAAGGGACCCAGCATGCTCAAGAATAACTATTTGGCATTTTACTCTAGTGCTTTTTCCCCTAAGGTGCTGTAATTGGCAATCTCTTCCTACCTCCACTTCCAATGGGTGTGAACTTTTATTTTTTTCCTTTTTTTTAATTTACTTTTTTCCACTTGCTGAGACACATTGGCAATGAACTTTTATTTAACCATGTGGTATATAATTAATTTCTTTTGGCTCTTTTGCCTGGTTTTTAGAAATCTCTTTGTTCCTAGTTTCAGTAACAATTTCTTTCTAAGCAGGTAGGACTTTTTGGTCTGGGGTATTGGGTTTTGGAAGAGGTTCTGCTCTTTCAGGACCAGAGAAGAGAGCTCTCTTTTTCAGTGTATGACTGCTAGCTTTCCTCAGGACCAGCACAGAGCTCCACCCTTCTTACCTCACCACCCTACCCTACGCTTCTAGAACTTCAGGAGGAGGAGCCACTTTTCCCCCCCTGAAAATAGGGATTCCACCTTAATACTGCAAATCTCCAGAGTCTTTCCAATAACGTCAATCCAATTTTCCTACCAACATTGATTTTTCGTTCACTTTGATTTATTCCAATCAGACCATTTGGCACTTATGTTGGCAGTGAGAAAATGTCATGAAACAGACTCATTGAATATTGAAATGTTTAAAAGAGTAGGATATCCCCACCTCATAGCCAGCACAGTTATCCAGTTAACCACCATAGGCATCCTGGCTCTTCCAGCATGCTCAGTGCACACCCTTCAACTTCTGTCAGCTTCCTGTGGATACTGGCAGCAGCTCCAGCCTAGCCCCACTTTCTGTCTCTGTCAGTGGTGCTAAGAGTGGGTCTGTACGGCCACCATCCTAAATTTTTCCAAGCTCACCACCTTTTATTTTTTAAACATTAAGTGCTTAAAATATTCAAGACACCAAGGTAAGTGTTTTACCTAGGTTGTTTTACTTCATTCTGACTACAGCTCTATGAGATAGGCACTGTGATTAGCCTCATTTTGCAGATGAGAACAATGAGGCACAGAAAGAGTAAGTAACATGCCTGGGATTCCACACCAGGTAGGCTGACTCCAAAGCACATCTATGATCTCAGTCACTCTCATGTATTGCCCTCTCTATGAAGTTCTGCCTCCTCATCCCTTAATGTATAGCATTTCCCTGACTTTGCTGTTGCCTCACCTCAGTATGTATTTAGCCGGATGGCAAAGCCAGTGTTCCCTGTAGCAAAGGAGGATTCCTCTGCATAGCTGTAAAGCCATACTTCCTGTTCCAGAGGTTGATTCATGAATGAATCCACATTTTCATTTCCCCTCCCCTTTCATGGGGGAACGACTTACTCACAGCTGATCTGAAGGAAGTTGGCAAATGGCCCTTCTAGGCCTCTCTCCACTGCTTTTGCTTAAAGTAAGCACGCCCTGAATACTATTCCTGCCTATTCCCACCCTTACTGCAATGACCTGATCAAAGGGTTCTGTGAATGAGGCTCTTGAATTCTGCCTAGTTGAGTTGTCGATTTCCTTTTCCTCTTTCCCAGATACTACCCCACAGTAGATACCCTTTTTTCCATAGAGCAGACCTTCTATCTGACTGAGCCCATGTGGGTTCAACAAAAAGGGTAGGAAGCAGTCTCTGGGAGATGATCTGGGTCTGCCCAGAGTCCCAAAACCTGACTGTTCATCAACAACTGGCCCAGTAATTGGATGAGCCAGAGCCAGCCAAGAGTTTTACGTGGGCTTTTAGGTTTCTGGAGGCATTTTCCTACACCCTCTAAAATGCTATTTCCTACGTTTCTTGACCTCTAAGGAGAGATCCAGAGTCTGTCACTCTCCAAGGGCTTCTTCTAAAAATAAAATCTCAAATTCCTTGGGACTTGGGAGTGGTTTAGAGGGCTATGGCATCTGTTAGAACTTTTGTCTGAAAGGGAAAGATCATAATGTGAACTTGAAGCCCACATAATTTTTGTATCTTCTAGAGCATTAGTTCTCAAAGTGTGGCCCCTGGACCAAGAGCATTAGCATATTGTTGGAAGTTGTTAGAAATACAAATTCTTGAGCCCTACCCCAAACCTACTAAATCAGAACCTCTGGGGTTGGGACCCAGCAATCCCTGTTGTAACAAGCCCTGCAGTTGATTCTGATGCCCACTGAAGGTGAGAACCACTGCTCTCTAAAGCAAAGGTTTTTTTAAACCTCTTTCAGAGTCTTAGGTCTGAGGATCTGATGTCAAGCTTGGGGCCCTCTCTGCTGTTTCACAGACCCCCTGAGGTCCAAGTTAAGAATACCTGCTCTGGAACTTAGGGCTTGTCCATCCCTTCCTGGCTTCCACCTGCTTTCAGCACCACTACAAGAAGGGATAGCCACATACACTGTTTCTCCCTTCATCTGTGTACTGCTGGATGTCAACTGAGGATGTGCATCCCCTGCACCAGACAGAACAGGAATAAGGGCTTGCTGCTCCCTGTATGTGCTGCAGCCACAGCCCTCTAAACAAAACCAAATGCCCAAGCATGGGGCACCAGGCCAGGAGTCTGGGACCAAATAGAAAAGTGATTCCTTCTTCTGGAGCTGTGAACTGTGTGTCAGAGCAGAACTGCTAAAAACTGCTGAACTTTCTGTGACAGTCCTATCTGGGGCAAATTAACTGGAGCTAGAGCATTGTCAATGGCAAGTTTTGGTCTCCCCATGACAAGATCCAGATTTTTATTTCCTAGCTAAAAGCATCTCAACTTATACCTCTATAAGCTATTTCCACCTGAGCAGCCAGTTACTTGACTTGAGGCACTGCTTTCAGCTTTTCCTTCATGGTTGTTCTTGGGCCATGTCTTAAACTGGTACTCAGGGCACCTTCATTGGGAAAAAGTCCCTTCTTTAAATCGAGGGCCTTCTAAGGAGGAGGCTGGCTCTGAAAAGAGTGCCCAAAGCTTCAGAGCTTGGGCTGCCCTATGAATCACTCCCTCTGGCTGGGCCATTTCTGGGAGTCAGCTGTACCTCTAGGACTGGCTTCCTCATGTACTTGGAATGTGGGTACTGTCATTCTATTTCATCTCATCTCCAGTCTACAGGTGGCAAAGAACAGAGACTCTGAGTATGAGATGATTTTCTCTGTCTGTGGCCAACCTCCTTAGCTTTCTGCAACTCCCACCTCTGCATTGGCCTCAGCATCTTCCCTCCCTAGCTATTTCATCTCCAGATGAGGCTCTCAGGCAAGAACAAGCAACCCTAGATTCAACAGATAGCGTAATGCCCACTCTGTCCTCAACTGCCTCCTAAAACACCATTGGTTGAGGCTCTAGTCGTACAGCATGCACTTGAGGGCTCCTTGGTTCCTGGGCATTTGATGGGCAGCATCCTCCTGGGTCTTTCTCTTGGTGAACTGGGCATTCACTCTCCC